CAACATGTTTTAAAAACACAAAATACATATATATTTGTGAAATTAAAATGCTTTCTCCTATTAACAGAGAGTAATGATTTTAAAATAGGAAAATCTCAGTTTCACCAAATGATTAGAATTGACAAGACAAACTCGAACATGATACTAATTAATGTAGAAATATTTGTGCTGAAATATATGTCGAGTTTCAAGGAAGAAAAATGTATTACCAAATAATCCAAATGTTATGGGAGTTATGTTAGAAAATGCAGAGAATACTTATCCATTATTATTATTGATGACCATGATTGACTTGCTGGAGAAGCCCACAGAACTCAGGAAAAGTTTGCTTACTGTTCATCAGTTGATTATGAAGGATATGATACAGCACACAGATGAACATCAGATGGGAGAGATGCACAGGGCAAGGAAAGGAGTTCAGAGCATCCATGCCCCCTCTGGGAGTTCAGAGCATCCATGCCCCCCCGGAAGCACCGCTCTCCCAGCTCCTCTACATGTTCACCAACTTGGAAACTATTGAGATTTTTATGGAGACTTTATCACACAGGCATGATTAATTACTGACTCCATTTCCAGCCCCTCTCCTCTCTCCGGAGAATGAGGGACAGGGCTGAAATCTCTAAGCTTCTAACCATTGCCTGGTCTTTCTGGTGGCTGGCCCCTATCCATCAAAAATCATCTCTCTAGAACAAAAGACACCGCTATCACCCAGGAAATTCCAAGTTTAGGAGACTTGTGTCTAGGAAATTACAAGGGTTTTAGGAGGTCTGTGCCAGGAACTGGAGGCAGAGATCAATATTTATTTTTTCTATTATCTCACAGGTCTATAAAGTGAGAGTATAGTTTTTTTGAATTTAAGGAAATAACTTTTATTTATAAAATTAAATGTATATTTTCTACGAAAATCAAATTTTCCTTAAAACATGTCATCATAATAATAAAGTATTATCAATATCATAGTATCTGTATCTTAAATGCAATGCTGGTTAAAGATCACAAAAAGAAATTTTTTTT